AATTTAAAAAGAAATAATATTATATTAATACATGAAAAAATATAACAAATAATTAATAATAAATTACTAATAATAATAATTAAAATTAAAAAATTAAAAAAATAAAAAATGTTCAAAAAAATAATTTATTTGATTAAAAATTAACAAATTATAATAACAATTAGTATAATAATAATAATAATCTAAAAAGAAATAATATTATATTAATAAAGGAAAAATTATAAAAAATAATTAATAATAAATTAATAATTATAATAATTAAAAAAATTAGTGAATATTATAAAATTAGTTAATTACTATTATAATCGTTGAACAATTACAATATCAAGTGGGCTTCAAGTGGGCTTTTAGATATATTTTGTGGGTCTGGTTCATATTCAAATTATAAAATAGGGAGACTCTTGGAGAACAACAGAATATAGGAAGCAAATGGATATAGGATGACTCCTTGTTTCTCCAAATAAGAAGTCTAAAATAAGAAGTCTCTTGGAGATGCTCTTAGCCCCTGTTTTAGCTCTTTTTTTTGTTGTTCAAAATTTATGACATTACACACAATTCAATAACAATAAAAATAATAAAGACAACCGAATAATATTCGTCTTTTATTCATCAAGGAATATGTTGTTCCTCATACCACAAGTGCAACCTACGCTGGTACTGATCCTCCCAACCCCGTGAGATTTGGGTGTTTTGCGTATGTTAAACTCGCGAGTCGCGAGTTTGACAGAGCCAAAACTGTCAGATTCGGTTTCTAACTCCTAAAGTGATAATATCTAACGTTCAATTTATAACATAATTATGTCGAACTCCTAAAGTCCAATTTATAACATAATTATTTCGATTGTACAACATAATAATTTCTATTTCCTAACGCGATAATATCTAACATTCAATTTATAAATACACAAATCTAATTAATTTTTAACTCTTAACAGGATGATATCTAACGTACAATTTATAACATAATTATTTCGACTCGATAACATAATAATTTCTAATTCCTAAAGCGATAATATCTAACGTCCAATTTATAACATAATTATGTCGAACTCCTAAAGTCCAATTTATAACATAATTATTTCGATTGTAAAACATAATAATTTCTATTTCCTAACGCGATAGTATCTAAAATTCAGTTTATAGATACACAAATCTAATTAATTTTTAACTCCTAACAGGATAATATCTAACGTCCAATTTATAACATAATTATTTCGACTCGATAATATAATAATTTCTAATTCCTAAAGCGACAATATCTAACGTCCAATTTATAACATAATTATTTCGACTCGATAGCATAATAATTTCTAATCCCTAAAGCAATATATCTAACGTCCAATTTATAACATAATTATTTCCACTCGATAACATAATAATTTCTAATTCCTAAATCAATAATATCAAACGTCCAATTTATAACATAATTATTTCGA